TTTAGGCAAATCTCTAAAAGGAAAAATATAAAACCCATCTTTTGGAGAGATGAATTAATGGTGGCAATGAAGACTTTTCACATAAGGGAGAAGCTAGGCTCTTTTAAATTTTCTCACTGATTCTATATTGTCCTTACAAGTAAAACTTTAAATAGCGTATCCATCACCACTTCTAGGTACTTCAATATGCATTAACACTCTGGCAGATGTTTCTCGTTTTATGTATAGGCATATTTTTCAAAAATTGGTAATTTTTATCCTATAGTTCAATGGAATATTTGATAAGCATTATATCCCTTTCCACACACCCCTTCCCCATGCCAAATCACTGAGTAAGTTTAACAAAGTTTAACAAGTTTAACCAGTTTCTGTGCTATGGAGTATCAGAGCCTTTATCTTGCTGTGCACTGTTTATCTCACAGAGACCATATGTAATAAAATGTTTCCCAGAATTGTTATACTGTGGAACAGTATTTTCCCCATGGTGCATCTCACAGGACTGCTGTTCTTAAGAACTCATTCTGGGAAGTGCATTATAATTTATATTGCTAAGGTCCTCTTCCTTAGCACTGGTTTTTATACTGTACCTTTTTATAACAATCTACTGTCTGACGTACCATTTGCAGAGCTGCATTAAAACAAAATAATGAGTTTACTAAAAAATTTATGTGCAACTGGGTTTTCAAAATACAGAACAGGAGTGTCATGAACTTGTATCACCTGCCTACTGCAGTTCAGGGGCAGGTAACCGATGACTGGTGTTTGACGAAGTTTTTCGAAAACAGCTACCTGTATTTAACATATTCTGTTTTCTTACCCCCTGCTTTCCTTCCTAATATTTTTGCCCTTAGTATTTCACTCTCTCTTCTCCTCATTTTGTCACATTGTACATAATCCTATTGTATCCTTCAGGTTGTTTTTTTCATTTTTCATTCCTCTCCCATCTCCACAGGAAACAGGCACCCATAGATTTTTTTTTTCTTTACCTTAGTAATTCTTTGAACACTAAAAAATTAATACTTTTTTTGGTTGGTAACAATTGTTCTGTGTAAACTCCCTTTAGTTTTTGGCCACTTTTTTTACACAAAGGAGAATTTGTACCTGATTATTAGTAGTTCTAATAAGTACCATTCAATATATACTGTGTTCATCATGCTGAATCTCTTTCTCTGTGATGCTGAAAGAGCTAGTGGCTTGTATCAGTACTTGATTTAATTAAAGTAACCAGGCTGATTGTGAAGATTTTATTATAGTCCAACATATCTGTGTACTATTTTTAAAAAGAATGCTCGGATATGCAATAACCTCAGATCTTGAGCAAAACTAGCAATGAAGGAAATGTAAAAATTGGCCACGACACCCATATGCTTGCCTCTGGTGCCTAATGGAATTTACTCAACAGCTTGATGGTTGCTATTGCAAGGAAGTTATACTCTTTAAAAATATACAGTCGTGGGCCGGCCCGGTGGCGCACTCGGTAGAGTGTGGTGCTTGGGAGCGCTGGGGGCGCTCCCGCCGAGGGTTCGGATCCCATATAGAGACCGGTCCGCTCACTGGTTGAGCGTGGTGCGGATGCGACACCGAGGGTTGCGATCCTGTTACCGGTCACGAAAAAAGACAAAAAAAAAGTCGCTTCTGGCCGGCCCGGTGGCGCACTGGATAAGTGCGCCGCTTGGGAAGTGCGGCGGCGCTCCCGCCCGAGGGTTCGGATCCCACATACAGACCGGTTCCCGCTCACTGGCTGAGCGAGGCGCGGGAGCAACGCCGAGGGTTGCGATCCCGTTGCCGGTCCCCGGTCCGGTATGGGGGCGACACTGAGGGTTGTGATCCGTTGCCGGACACGGAAAAAGACAAAAGACCAAAAAAAAAAAGTTGCTTCTTATGTTAGTTATGTTCTATAAGGTCAACATGAACACTGAATTAGCAAATACCGAACCATTGTTCCTAGGGGACATAACAGGGTTAGTTTCCTGTGAGCCTCTGGTCACATTTTTGTTAACTGAGCAATACGTGACCTTGTTTTATGTGTTTTTCTATTTAAAGAAAATATATATTTAATTATTGCCTTACTTAATATGTATTGTTGATTCGATAACATTCAACTCATGGTCAATAGCACTATACCTCATGCCTGAACAAAGCTTACCTGACATATATTTTTCTCCATAAGTCACATCACAGTTGTCTTACATCAGAAATACTAGACAGCACTTCAAGACTATGCTTACAGGCCATTTTAAACAGTGAAATTACTAGTAAAAAGTGCAAAAAAAAAAAAAAACATGGCACTAAATAGACTGGGGGAAAAGCACTTGTTGACAGTATGAGAGCTAAAGCAAGATAACAGTGTCACCTTGTTCAGTCTCAGCTAGGAACATGTATGTCAGTAGCTCAGAATTTTCACTACTCTGTACGTGTCCGTGAATAAACATGGAATTACTACGAGTATTGATTTTGGGGGTTGCAAATGAATTTTAGCAAGTAGGCAAATTCACAAATACGGAATCTGCAAATAATGAGGATTGACTGTAATTGCTTTATTAAAGCACTGATCTTGAGGGAATATGTCTCCACAAATGCAGATGCTTATTAATTCCAGTAGGCTTTTACAGCAGTAAATGGTTCTTAGCTAAAGAACATTAGCTCCCTGGTAGTATGTTAACGAAAAAACCTAGTTCTTTGTTACAGAAATTATTAAAATAATAGTGACTTGAATATAGAAACCTCATAATGAAAACAATATCTGAACTATATTAATACCCTTGCAGCAGAACTTTATCTTATCACTGTGTCCATGGAAAAATTTATTCCAAATTCCAGCTGGAATGCCTGAGTCCTTTTGCTTCCAGGGCTCATAGTTCCAGTGATGATTGACCCACCATACACACCTGCAGTGTAGGACTTCCATTTTCCCCTAAAGTTCTGGGTATGATAATAGAGCTATAGGAGCTGGACTCTGGAGGGTATAAAGGAAAGAACAAGGTTACAGCTCTCAAAGGTGAGTGCTAGGGGCTTCTTCTGGGAAGATGGAGAGACAGGTTATTCAAATCACTCTCATGCATAATGCCAGGATTTTTAGGGAAGCCAGGGATGATTGTCAGTACAGCCTGAAATCTGAAGGAAGCTATGTTCTCCTAGAAACAGTGGCCCTGCTGGATATAAAATTGGGGGTAGGATATTCCATTGATCTGAGCCATTTCCTACCCTCTTTAAGGTTTCAGGTTTGAAAGATATTATTAGTGGTGTTCAAACAAAAATGCACATGCTGGTTATCTCTGTGTGATGAGCTGTGGAAGGAAGTCTCTGATCAAGAAGATGAATACCTTGCAAGTTTGTATGAACTAAGCAGTATTATTTATGTTTAATGTTTTCCTACAAGATTACCATATTCTGTAATATCTAACAAATATACATGTGTGTTATGTTCATTTGTATTTGTTTAATGATTAAAAGTTTAAGTGAAACAATAATTCAGAAAGGAAAATATGTGGCAATATGAAACCTAAAAAGGAATATAGAACTTATATGAGGTATGTAAAATAGATGTATAGAAACAGAGAATAGAATAGTGGTTGCCAGCAGCTGGGACAGGAAGAAATGGGCAATTACTGTTCAGGGCTGTAAAGTTTCAGTTCTACCCAATGAGTAGGTCTTAGAGATCTGCTGTACTTGTGCTTGTAGTTAACAGGACTGTATTGTGCACTGAAAAATTTGTTAGGATGGATAGATCTCATGTTAAACATTATTCCACAATTTTAAAAAAAAAGCCTCATAGGTTTCTTTTAAATGACAGTTTTCTTTGGGAGGAGGGGAGCTTTTAATGAGATCTACAGCCTTTCTTGGTAGGTTTCCCAAGTTTAAGATCTTTTAATGAAAAATCAGAGACTGGATAATAAATAGACTGAAATCAGCTTTTTTAACTTGTTAAGGCAATTATTAATGTTTGACCACTTTTTTGATACCTTAGTTTTATCCCAAGAAAGAATAATACATGTTCTGTTTTTAGTAAATAGTGTGCCTAGCAGAGAAGGAAACAAGTCTTTTACGTAAGAACTCTTGTGTTTCCTTAAATGTTCCCTAGATTGACTGGGGGACAGCAGCATATAAAATTCTTATTTGAATTTAGAGTGCAGACCAGCCTGTTAAAGGTTGGAGAAGTCTAACTATAAAAGAGCTTGTTTAACTTCATTTCCTAGATTTTTTTACATTTCTTCAACTTTGGAATCCTTCTTTTTCAGGAACTTTCCATCTCACAGGACCTCAGAACTGAGGAACACAGTTATGGGAATCAGCTAGTCACTGGCAAGGTGGCCCTTTCTCTGTTCATGTATGGATTTTGTGCAGTTTCCTTGGCCCTGCATCATAGGCAGAGAGCTAAAGCAGCACACTGGAAAATTAACATTCAGTCCTTTCTTGTCTGCAGCAGGATGAAAATGTTTGTACCTTCTCTGGAGAAAGTAATTAAGTTTTTTCTCCTTCATCTTGCATGTGTTCTGACTCATCTACTCAGGTGACCAGGTGGCCCAGAACAGTCTTAGGTTCTTTAAGAGAATGTACAAGGGACTAAGCTACTGTTTGTAGTAAATACGATTTTATAAGAATCATGATGAGTATTTTTAAATAAGCTTTTTAATGTCATTAATCCTGAAACTCGTGCTATAGTAAACCTGTAAACCATTAAAATGTTCTTTTAATTAAATCAATGTTTGTTACATCTCATAAATTTTAACATTTTTTTTAAAACAACAAAGAAATAGGAAGATTGCAAAATAATGGACAAACAAAATAAATCGTAGATTGATTAAAAGTATAACATAGGAAAAGTTGAGATTTTAAAAACCCACAAGAAAAAGAATTGTGTGTAATTGATTTTTAGCAGGCTAACAACATTCTAATCAGTAGAAGAAATCGAGGCATTTGGATTGACTATATGAGAATGTAAAAATTTCCGGTTGGCATGTGATGCAGACAAACAAAAAGTCAGACAGTGGGCAAACACAGCAGGTATAACACAGGGTTGAGGTTTATATTACTTGAATAACTCTTACAATTAAAGAAAATTATCAAACCCAGTTAAATGAGAAAAGGACAAGCAGTTCTTACAAGGGGAAATTGTCAGCCATCAAAGAAATTCGTTTTTTAATCTAAGGTTTTTGCACGCCTGTCTTCCTACTGTGCTTGGTGAAGATTTCAGTGGTGAAGATGACACTCACTCCTGTAGGGGAAGAGAGGGAGACAAGGAACGGCAGTAAACAAAAAAATGAAATTGAGTTTTATACCTTGAAAACTGTTTTTTTAAATTGCTAATATTTAGTGCTGGCAAGGCTATGGAAATTGGTTAAATTATTTTTGATCCTTTCAATGACAGAAACTTATTTTTCTTTTGTTTTTTTAACCTCAAAAATTATCCTAATGAAATAATTTTTTTTAAAAAAAGACAACAGAATATACTGAGCAATAGGGTTTGGTAAAGTAATCAGGAATTTTTAACCCAATGGAGCGTGACTTAATGATTGAAATTATTTTGAAAATAATAGTAACATGCAACTATGTCAGGATAGGTGGCTACAGTTGCATTTGGGCTTCTGGATTCAGTTCTGTAAAATAAGTAAACATGTGGATTTTAATGATAGTAGGATTATGATATATTAAAATTTGTTTTGTTTTATTTAATAATATTTGTTACTAGAAGAAACAATATTTATTACTAGAAGAAACATTAAGATTCATTTTATTAAAAATAATGTTTTTTCACTTTTCAGCTGACTACACAGACTCTGCCTTCTCCATGTTCCCGTAGCCAGAGACATGACCTGACACCCTGATGACTGCTGTCAGGGCCCTTGGGTGACTGGCTGGTGCAACATGGAACTTAAAGTATGGGTGGACGGAGTTCAGAGGATTGTTTGTGGGGTCACTGAAGTCACAACATGCCAGGAGGTTGTAATAGCCTTAGCTCAAGCCATAGGTAAGTGAACTCTGTAAGAGTCTGAGAAAAAAGTACTTTATGCTTCCTTTGGGGGTGGGGTGGGGAGGGAGTGTTTTAAATATAGGTCTCTAGTGGATTTTGTTTATTTGGTTCCATAATAAATTTCATAGGCAAACTCTTATTTTTCCCATTTGCCTGTGTTTAGGTAAATTCGTAATGGTGCTTGATCTCTGACTACCTACCAGATTTTACTAATTTTGAGTCTAGAGTCTGCACTGCCTTCTCCTCTCCTGTTGTTTATCCTAAACAATGATTTCTGGAACTAAAGATATTTTTTTGAGCCAAAACATAAATTTTCTAATTCCTAGAATCCCTCAATAGGAAAAATCCTATTATTTATTTATTTCTGAATACTTTTAGAAAAGAGATGCAGCAAATTAAATAACATGGTTCTTCATTAGGAAGCTAACCTATACTTTTAAAATATTTTTATACAGTGGAGATGAAGTTGTCAAGTACCTCTTTACTAGCCACATCTCCTGGCTCCACCTTACTCTCCTACCATGTTTTAACTTTTCTTCTAATTTAAGTTTATCTTTATCATAGTTTGTGCATGTTTACTAGTTTGCCTTATATCCTTTTTAAACATGTTGAGGGCATAAACACCTGCATCAATAAAACCAGTAATGTGGGTTAAAGTTTATATTTGCATCTTAAATCTGTTTAGCAAGCATGTGTTAAGAGGAAACTGTGTGTCCAGCACCGTGCTAGGTACGCAGTGCCTTTTTGTCTTCGAGTTCCTTATCACAAGTTTATGTAGTGCTAGTTTGTATTGGAAGCATGTCAAGTTAGCTCAGGATTGAAACAAGTCATACTGTTGCCAAGGCACCTTAGCTTGGTGGGTGATTGTGCCACCTGCACTGTGTCAGGTGCACTGTTAGAAGTTGATGATACAAAGATAGAGGCTTTCTTCTAAAACTGGTTTCTTTTGATTTTTCCTTAAATACTATATAGCACACTAATATAGTAAAGCAATGCTGAAAAGATTTCCTTGCATTTGGGACTATCATATTTGGAGACTTGTTTAATTATTAAAGAAGGGGAAATTAAGGCATTTAATTATATTTTATATTCTTTTGTACAAACTTAATCATTGCTCTCTTAAGAGCCTCACATAATTTATTTGAATTAAAATATACAGCTTTTTTTTCTTAATGAAGACTAGGGTTATTCATTGTCAAACCTAACTTTCCTTGTTATATTTGGGAATCAAGCCATAGACAGTGCTAAAAAAAAGGGGGGGGGGCAGTTTTTGTGAAAGCCAAAGTGGTTGAGTAGTGCTCTAAGCTCTTTCTGTCCATGTAGTAACCACATTTTCTACACAGAATTTCAAAGGGGAAAATGCCCAGATGTACCCCTATGAGTTTATCCGTTTGGACTAAAGAGTGTACTTATTTGTGAACAAGCTAAAAAGAAGTTTTAACTGAATTTGTTCTCCCATTTTTGCTTTCTCAATAACTCAACCCAAAACCTGTTTTGAAAAGTTGATGACTTGGATACAGATATTTTATGATATTCCTCCAAACTTGGCTAAATAATTCTTTTTCTGTATCATAAATATTTTATTGGATGCAAAATTCATCTGAGAGATGACTCAACTGACAACTAGCTGAGAGCTGTTGATTCTTTGTGCTGTGCCATAAGATTTTCTCAGTATCAAATTCAACATGCTTCCAATATATACTGAATATTTATCTATGTTGTAATAAGAGTTATTGAAATGAAATACTAATGCAATTTTTATAGTATTTTAACCTTATTTCTATTATAAGAAAATAATACAGGGTTTATTAACTAGAGAAAATTGCTGCAGTAACTAACAACCCCAGAATTTCCATGGCTTAACAAAGTAAACATTTAGCTGTACTATTAGTAGAGTATGGCCTGACTGAGCAAAACCACAGATGTCTGTAAATAATTTATAATAAATCAACTTATAGACAGATTTCTTAGGTTTAAGTGTACATTTTTGCCTCATGGGGCCAAAATATACACACACACACACACACATACACATACACACATATGTATGTTTGTGTATGTGTGTGTGTATATATATATCATAGAGTAGAGGTTATTAAGTTTTTCTGGATACTTTAAAAGTATTTTTAGGAAACCACAGAAACTATCAAAATGGTTTACTATGAAAATATGTATACGAGTTGGCAATCTGAAAAACCATATGACAGCTAATATTTTCTGTCTTAGTGCTACTAATCAATCAAATCAAATTAGAAAAGAGTTACAAACAGAATGTTGAAAGTATCTAATATACATACAGAGAAATTCTATAGTAATCTTTGACTATCTCGAGAGATTATATTTAGGTGATAGATGTAGGACACGTTCTCAGATTATAACATAGAATAAATAAAAGTGATGAAACCATGATTAAAACACTTTATTGGTATGAAGTGGTTAAACTACCCAGCAAGAGTGCACTTTGTGTTTGGTTACTATATATACTGGGCTTTCTGAAACATTCCCAATTTAAATATTGTACCTTGTTTCCCCTGTATACTCTCCCAGAAATGTCATTATTTCAGAGTTCACACTGCTTCTCAAATCTGTAAGTGAAATAGCCTCTGACAGATCATCTGTTTGAAGTTATAAGTAGAAAAAATGCATTTGCTTTTACAATATCCCAAACCAAAAATATTAAAAGGATGAATTTCTGCCCTCAAGCAGCTTAGAGCTTAACACAGAAATAAAGTCCAGCAAGTAAAAGATTAGAGAGGAAACGAGGAGGAAAAAATCAAGGAGATTGAAGGAAAGGGTTTCCGATCCACAGTACTTTGATACCTGGTGCCATTTAAAGTACCAACCGTTCAGAATTTTTCTCTATGCCCACTTATGATCCTTTTCCCATATCTCCTTCAACTGGGGCCAGAGCAAGTATTCAGTATACACAAAGTGATTGGGGCTAGGGCCCAAAGTGGAGTGGACTGTTCCTACAGAGCTATGAATTTTTTTTTAAATAACAGTTTTATTGTAATATGTTACATATTATAAAATTTTCCTTTTTTCAATGGGCAATTCATTGATTTGTAGTATATTCATGAGCTGTGTAACAATTACCACAATCTGATTACAGAATGTTTTTTATCACTTCAAAAAGAAACCAATTCTTTTTGGTATGGGGTGGTTTTGATTTGCATTTCCCTGATAGCTCATGATGTTAAGGATCTTTTTATGTGCTTATGGGCCATTTGAATATCTTCTTTGGACAAATGTCTATTTAAATCTTTTGCCCATTTTAAAATAAGGTTATTTATTTTTTTCGTTGTTAAGTTCTAAGAGTTCTTTGTGTATTCTGGATACGAGTCCCCTATTAGATATATAATGTGCAAATATTTTCTCCTATTCTGTGTCTTTTCACTTTTTTGATAGTTTCCTTTGAAGCACAGAAGTTTTAAATTTTTATAAAGTCCAATTTACCTACTTTTTCTTTTGTCACTGGGCTTTTGGTGTCATATCATGACCAAGGTCATGAAGATTTACTCCTATATTTTCTTCTAAGAGTTTTATAGTTTTAATTCTTACATTTAGATCTATAAGCTATTTTGAGTTGATTTTTGTGTATGATGTGAGGTAGGAATGCAACTTCACTCTTTTGCATGTGGAAATCTAGTTTTTCCAGCACCATTTGTTGAAATGAATGGTTTTAGCAACTTTGTGGAAAATCAGTTGACCATAAATGTTAAGATTTATTTCTGGACTCTCAATTTTATTACACTGACTTATATATCTATTCTTATGCTAGCACCACACTTTCTTAATTATTGTAGCTCTGTAGCTGGTTTTGAAATCAGGAAGTATAAGTTCTCTAATTTTGTTCTTTTTTTTTTCATTTTTATATTTCTTTTATTTAATCGCCTTAAAATTAGCCATAGTTTATTTTTTTAATTTTATTTATTTACTTATTTATTTATTCATTCATTCATTCATTCATTTATTGGTTATGAATATTCATGGGGTACAAAGTAAATTGTTACAACTTGTGCCTAAGATGTGATGGGCAGATCCATATTGGCAGCATGCCCATTACCATAAATTGTGATTATACCCTGTGTCCCCAACCAATTATCCTTGACTTCCCTCCCTATCCCCCTTTCCCTACTCCACTTTGTATCTCTAGTTAAGTTCTCTCCTTCTGCAAGTCCAGTGCACCACCGTGGTCTGTCTTTCCTTCCTTCTTTCTCTTACCTCCACTTATGAGTGAGTACATATGATATTTATCCCTCTGTGCTTTGCTTATTTCACTCAACATAAGTTTCTCCAAGGTCATCCATGTTGTTGCAAATGGAGGAATTTCATTCTTTTTTATGGCAGAGTAGTATTCCATGTTGTATATATACCACAGTTTCCTTATCCAGTCGTCCATCAATGGACATTTAAGTTGGTTCCTTATCTTGGCTATTGTGAACAGAGCTGCAATGAACATAGGAGTGCAGGTATCCCTTTGACGTGATGATTTCCATTCCTTTGGGTATATACCCAGAAGTGGGATTGCTGGATTGTATGGTAGCTCTATCTGTAGTTGTTTCAGAAGCCTCCATACTGTTTTCCATAGTGGTTGTACTAATTTACAGTCCCACCTACAGTGTGGTAGAGTTCCCTTCTCTCCACATCCTCACCAGCATTTGTTATTCTGTATTTTTGATTATAGCCAGTCTAACTGGGATAAGATAATATCTCAGTGTAGTTTTAATTTGCATTTCCCTGATGACTAGTGATGTTGAGCATTTTTTCATGTACCTGTTGGCCATTTGTATGTCTTCCTTTGAAAAATGTCTATTAAGTTTCTTTGCCCATTTTTTAATTAGGTTATTTGTTTTTCTACTGTGTAATTGCTTAAGTTCCTTGTATATTATGGATATTAATCCCTTGTTGGATGCATAGCATAAATTTTCTCTCACTCTGTAGGTTGTTGTTTCACTCTGTTGATTGTTTCCTTTGCTATGCAGAAGCTTTTTAGT